CTTTATTCCCAACCCCCGCCCGTGAAATGAGCGACGTCGGCATGTGGGTAGCGGCTCGCTTTTGTTGTTTGCCATGTGCTATCTTGTGCGGTGTGAGATAGAGATAGGTGATGCTGTTGCATCCCTCGTCCTTTTCCTTATGGACTTCTCCTCCATGGAGAGGTCGGAAGGGTCCAAATGATGGGGATAAAAGGTTCAACAACAAGTTGAAACTGTACTGCGACAAGCTGTGGGCTCTCGACTGGGTCAGAGGGACCAACGAGCCCGGGTGTGGTGCTGCTGTGTTTTTGACGAAGGACAAAGGGGCGGCCTGGTACTGTTGTGGTGGCATCATCAGGTCTGAAATTGACAAGGCCACATTGGAGAAAGGGAAGGTCGACGAGCAAGACTTGAGGAAGTTCTTCCTCACTTCGGTTTACGATGAACAAGGTATCGACTGGGTCAAGACTGACCACAAGGTCAGCCACGACCTTGCTTTGTTCAAGGGGTATGGTAAAAAGACATTCGTTATGAAAGCCTTCGGCGGCAAGGGAGATATGAATGAGTTTAAAATGCTCTTACCGGTTGAATTCCTCAGCAAGACCAACGGGTATAAGAAAAGTGGTAAGTTCCCGACAGTCGGCGCTGGTCACCAGCTCACGATGCCCCTTGTGTCATCCGACACTCCTGTCGAAAGTCTCACAGGCTTATCAACGTGCTATAGCGATCGGCGACAGGTTGTGTCGTCACCACAACAACCTGTTGCCGGGAAATAGAAACTCATTGATTACTCAAGGCGTTCAGGGGGTGGGTCATCGGCGACGACCCCGAAGACGATGGAGCTCGCCAGACGTCCTTCGGATGTTCCCGAAAGTTCATGTGCTGCTGCCAGCTCGCCCTCGCAAGACACCCCGCAACATTAAATGGACGAGGAGTCGGATGAAGAAACAGGGAAAGACAAATGGGTTCGTAAATTGGATTCGAAGTTCTTGGCGACACCTGGGCACATCCGGGGCGAAGGCTCTTGCGATGTGAATGTGGGGCGGGAAGCTGGTGGAGGTGGCGAAGCCCGGTTGAGGGGCGATGGAGAATATGACGAAGATGAAGGCGAGTGTGGCAGTGGCGAGCAGCGAGAAAACGTTGGAGGTGGGGCAGTCCATTGCGATGGAACGGCGGAGCAAATGGAGTGGGACAGAGTTGCGGCGAGTGGTGGGGTGGAATATGGCGGTCAGGGTGGTTCGGAAATGGAAGACGGGGAATTGGAAGACAAAGGAGGAGATCCTGGTGTTTCCGCGGGACTGACTTCCAAGAGGGGGGGAAAACGCACAGCGGAAGAGTCGCCGACGCCAGCTGCGCCTAAGAAGCAGGCTCGAAGGAAAGATGTGGATGAAGCTCGGGTCGCCTTGGATGCATCTCAAGGGACGCTTGATGAACCCGATGTGAAACGCAAATCAAGTGCTCGGATTCGCAAAAAATCGCAACTCAAGAATCATGTGCGGCCATCAAGGCGCCAAAAATCAAACGACTCCAGCGACGACGCTGAAGGGGTGGCCCCTCGCTTGCTCTCCCTCCCTAACGACGTCGAACAGGAAACAAAGAAACCCAGTGCGATCAACATGACGCAATGCTACTTCTTTGACTACGATGAGGAGGTCAAAAAGAGAAGAGACCCGTCGAGGGTGGTAATTGACGTCGTGCAGATTCTTCGAATTCCGGAGGAAGATATCGCCTTCAATCAGTGATCGATGAACATGGCCATCCTTGCAGGCCTCGATGCGGCTATCGAGTCGTCGACTGGGCCAAGTGGTGAGGATGATCCTGCTCCGTGGGAACTGGCTCCGATTACGCCATCGAAGGACGATCCGGACAGGCAAGAGACACGAGTCCTTCCAAAGGACTTCGATCCCGATAGGGCATACGAGTACTTATATTACCCGGTTGCCAGCCAACATACTGTCGAAGCCATGAAAAGAGCAGTGACGAGGGATTCCGTAGCAGTGGACGTGTTCGGTTTTTGAAATTATGATCGCGTACGGATCATTTATTTCGACGACGACCACACGAATGGGTATATGTATGTTTCGACATACGACAACACGAGAGGTGACCGCGCTATGTTGTCGTCGTTCCACCAAGCCTGCTAAGACATCAGAATTTTTTGGGATTTGAAGAACCGGATCGGACATGTGGGGAACGTGTCCAAAACGGATCCCACCGAATTGACACACCAGGAAGAGTGGAGGAAGTTCATGAGAATTTGCATGGGGCCGTCATGTGACCAATCCTTGTGGACTGAGGCTTTGGCTTCGAAGTGGCAACAGGACTGGATGAACAGGATGAGGGGATACATGAATGTCGCCACATGTAGGGACCGGATATGGCCATCGGTGAAGGACTTTTTTGAGAAGTTCGAAGCGGGGGAGTTGCCGCTACACAACAACAAGTGCCCAAAGGACTTGCCGGGGAGGCAGGAGGGGCGCATGCCGGGCCAATTGGTTGAAGAGGTGCAGGGGAAGAAGGAGGTGTTCCATTGCATTTCGGCTAAGGACGGGGGACCGAACGCAACGTTCCATCAAAGTACAAATGTTTTGGGGATATGACGGCACGAGAGAAGGAAATCGCTTTGCGTTTGATGATCAATAAAAAAGTCATCGCCAAAACTAGACTGGTTCCTTCTGAGAAGATGAACATGACCAACCTCCTCGATATCATAATGCGCGAGAGATACATGATGTGTCTGTTCAACTACATCGTCTTCAAATCGGAGAACAGAGAGGCGAATGAGTGGAAGGAGGGGTTCTTCTTCGACTATGATAAAATGGAGCAAAGGTTTGGCATAAAGGCAGACGAATGGGATGAGGAAAGGGATAGGATCCCTTTGGTATATGTCCGGAGGGTTTCGAAAAGACTTGGCGGAGAGCAAGAAGAAAAAAACCTGAAAGGAGTTGGTCTATAGGCCACGGAGGCGTTATACAAGGACGCGTCATTCCACTTCAAGTACTTCGTGTACCACGCCATAGGGAAAGTGAACTTGCTGACAACTGAGTTATGACGGTTCAAGAATGCTGCGCTTCATCTGTGTTAGGAGAAGAAAGGGCGACGGTCGACATTGTTGCCGGTCAACATGCACCCGAAGGAGTTGCTGCCCGCAGCCAATGAAATTGTGTCTGCAGCCAACGAAATTGTGTCTGCAGCCACGAACTTGAATTGCAAGGCCGCCATCCTCGATCTCGCAAACCCGAAGAAGTGCCTTGCATGGTCGCCAACCGATTTCGATGCTCTGCAAAAAATGATGCCGAAATTGTGCGGCAATAATTGGATATTGATTGTTTTTGCCGCGCAAAAATAACAGAAGATCGTCATGCAACAACTTCACAACTGGGACGACGTAGAGGTGATACCTGAGACTTGGAAGCATTATCTCGGGGTCAGAACGGTTGTCAATATGTACCGGAACTGGCAAGTCGATTACAAGGACACGATGGCGATCGTTCTGCATGCTATACCGACCAAGGCACTCCAAGCACATGTACCGACCGAGCCATTCCAAACACCTACCGACTGAGCCACTTCAAGCACCTACCGACCGAGCCACTCCAAGAACATTCCGAGCGCACCACTCAAAGTTCCTACTGACTGATAGACTCCAAGCACCTATACCGAC